TCTATCGCACACTCAACAACAAATGCAAGAGAAGACGACTAGTGTAGCAGCAGCCTCTGCAGCAGTAGGTCTCAACATACATAAAGGAAAAAGCAAAATTCTCCGATGCAACACAACATGCACCAACCGAATCACTCTTGATGGAGATACCTTGGAGGACGTTAACACCTTCACATATCTTGGCAGCATCATCGACAACCAAGGTGGATCGGACGCAGATGTGAGGGCGCGGATTGGCAAAGCAAGGGCTGCATTTCTACAGTTGAAAAATATCTGGAACTCCAAACAACTTTCAAACAAAACCAAAATCAGGATCTTCAATACAAATGTCAAGACAGTTCTACTGTATGGAGCGGAAACATGGAGAACTACCAAAGCCATCATCCAGAAGATACAAGTGTTTATTAACAGTTGTCTACGCAAAATACTTCGTATTCGTTGGCCAGACACCATCAGCAACAACGAACTGTGGGAGAGAACAAGTCAGATTCCAATGGAGGAGGAAATCAGGAAGAAGCGGTGGAAATGGATAGGACATACACTACGAAAAGCACCCAACTGCGTCACTAGACAAGCCCTCACATGGAACCCTGAAGGCAAAAGGAAAAGAGGAAGGCCAAGGAACACACTACGCCGAGAAATAGAGAAAGATATGAGAGGAATGAACAAACATTGGACAGAACTGGAGAGGGAAGCCCAGGACAGAGTTGGTTGGAGAAAACTGGTGGGCGGCCTATGCTCCATTGGGGGTAACAGGCGAAAGGAAAAGGAAGGAAGGATTCCTCCCCAACCGTATATATATATATATATATATATATATATATATATATATCTTCATATTGTATAACCGAACTTGTCTATTCCCTTATCCAAAAAATTAAATTCACAAAAAAAGTTTTGTTATTTTACTCTGAAACTAAATGACAATCATTGTATCGGCGTGGTTCAACTAGTGTCTTAGCAACTTAGCCAGTGTGAGTGAGTGACAAAATAGAATTTGGCTTCATACACATACAAAAGAATTCAAGTTGTCACATTCCATCCATTAGCAAAATGAGAGATAAGATTGATTGTTAGGTCAAAAAATCATAGAATAATAATAATAACACACACCTACGCCATTGAAATGTAAATTTTCAGCCATAATATGATTCAAAAGTCTTTAGAGTGATCAACTAACTAACTAACTGATCAACAGATTAGAAGAGATAAGAAGAAGAATTGGAGAATTTTGGCATAATTCTCTGAATGTGTTTGTTTATCATTAAACTAAAATTTAAAATTCAAGATGTTAAAAAGTATAAAGTTCAAACACAAACAGTTTCTACATTAATTAATTAATGAATTAATTTTGGAAAAATTTTTTATCACAGATCACTAGGATGATAATTGACTTGTTAAGCTAGTTAGTTATGTAAGTTGTTGATGATGGATGCACATTGCCAATGAGTTTCTTCATACTAAGAAAAAAAATAATAACGGTTGTCGAGTACTTTTAAGTTTTCAATGGTGGTTTGTTTAACTTAAACACCACAGTTCAAGATTTCAATGTAATACCTTCTAATAGTATTCAGATATTTTGTGATATCAGGCCTACTTTGTGTTCGTGTTCATAAGATAAGTTTGCTATAGTTATTAGAATGAAACTTTAAATGCTTTTTTTAATTTACAGTGTTTGAAAATGAATTGCTCAAAACAATTCGTTTAGCTCAGTGATATTTAAGTTGAGAAGTAAGTGTTGCCTATGAAACGCAAACATCTTATTACTTGTATACCAACATAAAACCATATGTATATATATATTTGGTATTGTTGTATATAACCGATAGTTTGTTTGAAGAAAATAATTAGTGGGATAAATTGTTGAGGATGTTAGATCCCCAAAACTCACTTGTTAAATGCCTTATTTTGGATTTCACGTTTGCCAGCATGGGCTGATCGGTTGACCTTGAGATTTTATTTCCCAACAGGAAAACCCATGAATGTGATTGGCTGCTGTGTATTTTAGTGTGCTATTTTCGTAACTGTCTCAAGGAGGTTTCTATGATGTATAATAAACGAGAGTTGTATGCTTGATTGTACTGTGATTGCTGGGTCTTTGTAGAATATACTTTCTACGCTTGTCAAGTCTTCTGTTTTGCAGTTTGGGATTCAAGGTAGCCTACCTGGACGCTGATAAAAGTCTCGTTTGCGTTTACCGACTAAGGTAAACTCGTAATAGCCTCAAGCATACTTAGTGACGAACATAACATCAATGAGCTAGATTGTTAGGATATTCATCAAATATCTTAAGAGAATTATTGGCCGAAATCATGGTCGTTTTAATTGTCAAAGTCAAATACTATAATGTTATCTCTTATTGGTCATCCGGACTGTCAATGTTATTTCAAATGTTACTTCCTATTGGTCGTCTTAACTGTCAATGTCACAGAATTCAATGCTGTTTCCTATTCGACCAAAATGTATAATACGCATTATCTGTAACATTTTATGACCACGTCCAGCACCGGGATCCTGATTCTCGTCTGGACTCGGATCTCGTACTTTCTGGATGCTGGTAGAATACGTGTTCTACTTCTTATAACGTCTTCTTATTTTTTTACTAAATATGGGAGTTAGGATAATCGGATTTGAGTAGCTTGTCGTGTCGCCGGATCCTCGCTCTTGTTTTCCGACTAGGTAAACTCGTAATAATTCAAGTATATCAAGTTGACGTGTTTATGTGCAGGCGTAACAAGATTCATTAAAAATAAGTGAAATTGATAGCATTTTTTTTCAAAATCGGATTGTGTGAACAAATAACAAACTCTAAAGTAACGAAGAGTTCATTAATCAGTGTTTTAAATGGACTATACTATACCGTCTTTTGCCCGAACGATTGATTTGTATTGTAAGAAAAATATCACTCAGAATTAAACGATATTGCAGTAAATCATTTGTTATTGTTGAGACTAACATTAAAATATCTGTAGTGAATTAATTCAAACTGACAAAAAATACATGCTAATACACAAATATTCCATTCACACTAATGTCAATAACCTCATATGTAGACTAATCTACCATTTGTTAGGATATTCATCAAATATCCTATGAAGAATCATTTTGTAAATGTAAATTCTACTGGTCGATTCCTATCGATCAATATTATGGTCGTCCTGATTATCAATGTTACTTCAAATGTTTTTCCTATTGGTCGTCTTAACTGTCAGTGTCGCAGACTTCGATGCTGTTTCCTATTCAACCTAAATGTATAAATACGCATTATCTGTAACGTTTTATGGATCGCTAGTCCGGGATCCTGATTTTATTCTGGACTCGGATCTCGTACTTTCTGGATGATTGTAGAATACAGGTTCTACTTCATATCAAGTTTTCTTCTTTCACTCAATGGGGGTTGGGACACTCGGATTAGAGTAGCCTGCCGTGTCGCTGGATCCTCGCTCTCGTTTTCCGACTAGGTAAACTCATAATAGTTCAAGCATGTCAAAATGACATGTTTACGTACATTGGTAACACTACTCAACGACAAAAAATTCGAGTAATTTAGCTATTTAGTCTCTGGTCTCTTTCAACCTTTGTGAAGTGAATATAGTTATGATGTAATGTGTTAGATAATCTGTTGAATGGTGAAGAATTAACGGTGAACAAAACGCACACAACTCGAGAAATTTCGACGATGTTCGGTTAAGTGGAACTACTTTATATAATGAAAGAAACACATTACGCCGAGAAATGGAGACAGACATGAGAAGAATGAACAAAAATTGGACGGGATTAGAAAGGAAAGCCGAAGACAAAGTAGGTTGGAGAACACTGGTCGCCGGCTTATGCTTCACTGGGGGGTGACAGGCGTAAGTAAGTAAGTAAGTAGGTATGTAGTGAAGGAGAACACAGGTGGGGCAACCGAATTGCATTCAACGAAAATCACAGAGTTACTCAGTAATATTGGAAAACCATATCGTAAATCGTTCATTTGCAAAATATCAGTTCATCATATCGAACTGGACTGTTCCTGTTGCAAAACATCAATCCATTGTCACTGTTCATGCGTTTCATACAAATTACATTGTGTTCTAACTCTTCCTTTCTTGATCTTCCCCCATCTTCTGCTGCCAGACATTACGTTGACACTCACGTCATAAACTACTTATAAGTAGCTCGCACCGCAGCACCACAGGTATAAATGAACACGAAATCAATACTATTTTAACTGATCCATTTTAACAAATTTTATTTTGATGATGCATTTGGAATTAAATACACATTTTTTTGGAATAAAACACAATCACTGATACACTACTAATCTATGAATTAATTGTCACTATACACACACACACATACACTCATATAAATTGCAAAAATTACAAAATAAGGCAAGTAACAGTATTTGAGTTCCATTTAAGAAAATAGAAAAAAAAAGAGGACATAAATCTAGATTAAAAAAAAAGCCACTTGTGAGCAAGGATCAAGGGAAGAACATGTAAACACATCCGCACGCACACACATTAAACTGTACACAGTATGCACTTTCTTCACTCTCACACACACAAAATAGGTAATCAAAATTTCACTTTGAAAGTAATCATACTCGAAAAAAAAGGAGAAAAAATTAAATACTAATCCTTAGGAGAGTAGAGTAGAGTAGTGTAGTGTAGGAAAATAGCTAAGATAAGTAGTATTAGTAGTAGTAGTATTAGTAGTCTGTACAAATGATGAATTAGTGAAACAAACAAACAAACAGAAAGAAACAAATAAAGGTCATTTAAATTATACAACTTTTAAAAAAACTGTGTAGTTGAATTTAAATATCTTTTATTTTTTGTCTTGTCTTGTTTTGTTTAGTGAACTGGGCGAAATGAGCAAGTTGATTGAGATTAGAGACAATAATAAGTGATAATAGTAATAATAATAATAATAGGATACTTTCACAATGTAATTTATGTATAATGATGAAAAGTGAGTGATTAAGGTTTTATTAATTTGATTGATTGATTGCTTTATTTGTTATTCACAGGTAATTGCTTGTTAAATGATAGATTTTCAATAAAATTAACAATACTTGTATATGATAAATCGGAAGGATTCATTGGTTTACTTATATATAAATGATCTGTATCAATACGTACCAATTTACCCATTTCTCGATCTATAAAAATAGAGATAAATTTTATTATGCAATGAAATAGAGTTTGGTCATATATAATAAAGTTATTTGAAGAAATGTAATCTGACGAGAATGTTTAAAAAGAGTGAATTTATCTGAGTGTCAATGATTAAATTTTTGCAGGAAATTTTTTTTACAATTGTTTTTTATTCTATACAAGTAATTGAGCGTGTTGATCGCTTCACTTGACTCAGGAGTCACATCGGCAGTTGATGGCCTGGTGACTGACGAAATCTCAGCATGGATGCAGAAGGCTCGATTGAATTTTGCCAACTTGCGTCACTTATGGCACAGACAAGATAACCGTACTGCGCAGCAGTTCACTAGGTTCGAATTTAAGGCTGAGAAATATGGCCAGTGAGTATTCGATCAAAGGTGTCTCCGAAGTATTGCTCGTGTATCCTGAGACAACGGAGTAAGCAATGCTGTTGTTAGGAAACAGGTACTAGGTAAGGGTAGCAGATCAGTAGATGAAGTTTGGAAAATTCATCAGTTGAGGTGGTTAGGACATGCGCTGTGTATGCCTAATCACCGACTGCCTCGTCGAGCTATGTGCTTTGCGATGTAAGAATAGGTTGAAAGTAAGCTAGGGGTGGCCAAGCCATAAATCCATGAAGTTGCTGATAAATGGCCTGAGTCATGTTGGTCAGTGTAAACTACCTAGTTTGGGTCCGCGAAATGATAGTAATCGATGGTTAGAGACCCTGTATGACATGGCTCAAAACCGTTTGCAATGGCGCAGGTGCATTCATTCTTTGTGTTCTCTTAAATCCTAACCTTATGAATTCCTCATTACCTTTTTCTTTTTAAGTTAACCCTAAAACTTCCGATAACTGCTCACACTTCTACAATCTCTACTAGAAAGGTATTTGAATTGACAAATTGATCTTTGTGTGTTTATATATGGTATGGCAACTTGAACTGATGTACGTACGTACGTACGAAGTTCTATGTTGTTGACTGACTGACTGACTAATTCTATACCAGAGTTTGAGAGTAATTTAACGGACTAAGACGCTAAATAATGTGAAACACAATCCATAGGGTAGAGAATGTTGGAAAAAAAATTCAGACTTAAATTAATTAATTAATTTGATAAAACTTCATTGAATTGAAAGACACGGTACATATGAACCCAACTAAGACTAACCTTTAACATCTTCCGGTACAACTAAAACAGACCAAAATCTATTAATTGGAGTTACACGACTTTCAACCAACGATAAAATTTGTACTATATGACGATATGACCAAATATTAAACCAAACATGTAGATCTAATAAATAGTCTGAATCTACAAAAAAATTAAAAAAAAAAAGTTGATGGGATGTGAGATAGGCTAAAATTAGAATTATATTTTCATTATAATGTGACTTTCTCTTTTTTGGTATGGATGCGATGGTCTTCAGATCTCTTCTTAAGCATTTTATTGATTGATTTAAAAACTGGTACAAAGGGGGGTCGTCGGACTATCTATGCATCATACAAAACATTGAATTTGAACATGGACCGGAGTAGGTGGTTTTTTTAGAAGCCATTCACGGATTCTTCCACTCGAAGATCTGATACACAACAGACAATGTACTGACGACATTACCAGATGCAGTCCATCGGTAGCCAGTGACCAATCAATCAAAGGCCTATACACCATTTATTTCCTTAATATCCTGTAGTTTATATGTGAACCACTGGTTTCAAAACTAGTATTGTTCAATTCTCTTAGGTGGATCCTCCGTTCCCTTTCAACACAGTTAAAACCCTCATCTGATATATTCTCTACATCTGCAACAACAACAACAAAGAGAAGCAGAGTAGACTGTCTTCATACTCTCAGCTGTACAACATAGTTTGCGATTAGTGATCAACATACTAGTGATAATAAACATTTATTCGCTAGTTATGTAGTGAACGAGAACACAGGTGGGGCAACTGGATTGTATTTAACGAAAATTACAGAGTGGCTCAGTAAAATCGAAACACCATATCGTAAATCGTTCATTTGCAAAATATCAGTTCATCATATCGAACTGGACTGTTCCTGTTGCAAAACATCAATCCATTGTCACTATTCATGCGTTTCATACCAATTCCATTGTTTTCTAACTCTTCCTTTCTTGACCTTACCCCATCTTCTGCTGCCAGACATTACGTTGACACTCACGTCATATACTACTTATAAGTAGCTCGCACCACAGTTATATGCAACATTTTTGGTAAAACTATATTTGATTCATGTAATTAGGTATGTTTTTGAAAGACTAGAAGATTTACACAGTCAATAAAATATGATCTACTTTACATCTTACAAATTAGTTAATTTTACTTAAAAATTTAATCATAATACGATGACTTATTTGGATAAAACGTGACTTCGTCTCATAGTGTTGATAAATAAAGACAGATTAGGAAAGGAAAAAACCTTAAAATTATTTGTTAGAAAGCAAAAATTAAAGTGTTAACATACTTTTTTCAAGTTGAATAGCCTCTGGAGTAAGAGCCCATCGGAATGGACGACGATAAAAAGTCAGCGCTGATTGATTTCCTCTATGTGGTGTACTCATGAATACAACTGCTCGTGTACTACTTGCCAATATTCCATAATTCACTGGATCCACTATTTCTGAATTATCAACTGTGTCATTATTGTGTTTCAATAGTCGATCAGAACAACTCAATGAATGATGTAGACGATTATCCAAATGTTTATCAGATGATAATACACTGGTGTTTTTATCCTCGATTAAAGAGTTAAAACCAGAATCGGATATACTTTCATTTTCTTGGTCAATAATTTCATGACAATACCAATTACACGAAGAATCAATTTTATTATCGAGTGAAGATTGAAAAGCAATTCGATTTTCTTCACTTGACACTGGGAAATCTGAATAAGCACGAGAATATTGAGCAAAATCTCCAGCGCTAGATAGGCTACTACTACTTAGTTCAGAATTATCAGTTACCAATCGGTCAAAATTATCATTGTTAGCTGAATTAGCTAATCGAAGCATTTCTTTGACAAGAATACCTAATGAAAGTGTCAGAGAAACAAAACAATTATTTCATAAAGATATCTTTGTAATTACTTGAATAAACAAAATATATATGACAATCGAATCTAGGATGGACATTTGGGACTTGTCAGTTGGATATGAGTGCCTGTAAGTGTTGATATTCATATAAGGAATCTAATCCTATATATATTCCTCTTCAAGTAACTAAATCATCCATCATACGTTGAGCCAAAACAGATGAGATGTAAATCGAGGATTTTTTTTTCTGATAATCATAATGTAGGATTTAATTTGTCCTACAGATGTAATTCTAGAACAATAAACGCAATACTGGCGAGCATAGAGTCTGTGGTAAAGCTATAGTAAAAATGAAGTCAACTTGGTTTTAAACTTTATCTTCTAGTTTCTCCTTAGCGATTAAGTACACGGTTGTTATCACTGAATTCCCCATAAGGACCGAATAGCGTCCAACCTAATGAAGTCCTCACAGCAGACGGTTCATTTGTCTTCCAGGTTCTCATCTCTTTCGTTTAGTGTACGCTCGGTGCATTACGCCCGATCAACAGTTTAACATTCTCATCTTCTACTCTCGGAAAACTTACATCGCGCCGTTGGCACATTTCTGTGAACTGCCGGTAGTTTTTTTAACTGTCAACACTTTCTGGATCTTTATACGGATGATGAGAAGTGTCTATCGAGTACAACTCTACTACACATAATACACTCACTCAATTTTGTAAAAATAAAAACCTTTTTACAATATCATTATATCTAAGCGAAAAATCATACAGGATGCATATATATGCCGATAAACACTGGCTGGTCAGTCAGTCAGTCAGTTGCAACGTAGAACTTCGTACGTAAGTACATCAGTTCATGTCACCATACCACATCACCACAGAGATGTAATTGACAATTCAAATCCAATAGTAGAAGAGGTAGTAAAGGTACTAGAAGTAATCGGAGAGGTTAAGATTAGAAGATATTATTCAAGAAGTATGATTTATTGAGAAAAGTTTAGAAAGTCAAAACTAGAGGTGTTGAACAATCCAGAAGATTAGGATTTGAGAGAACACAAAGAATGAATGCAACGGCGCCATTGCGAACGATTTTGAGCCATGTCATTCAAGGTCTCTAACCATCGATTATTATCATCTTGCAGGACCACAATCAGGTAGTCGACAGTTACCGACATGGCTAAGTCCACTCGTCAATGACTTCATGGATTTATGCCACGTTTTGGTTTGGCCGCGCCTAACTTTCTTCCAACCTATTCCTACACTACAAAACAAAGTTCGTCGAGGCAGTCGGTGGTTAGACATATGCAACACACGTCCCAACCACCTCAACTTATGAAGTTTCACCACTTCATCGATTGATCTGCCATTCTTACCTAGCACCCGATTCCTAATAACAGTGTTGCTCACTCGGGTGTCCCACGATATACGAGCAATGCTTCGAAGACACCTATGATCGAAAACCAGTAATCGACGAATATCTTCCACTCTCACTGGCCATGTTTCACAGCCATAAAGTAAGACGGAGCGAACTACTGCGCAGTACACTCGTCCTTTAGTCAGCAAACGGATATCTCGCCTACGCCATAAGTGACGCAGGTTGGCAAAAGCCAATCGAGCCTTACTGGCTGGTCAACATCAATAATTAAACTCTTTAATTCTTATTATCGTTTTCTCATACACTACACAATGTGATTACAATGAATTCATTATTTTAATAAAAGAGAGAAAACAACATTTACAAACAAACAGAAAAAAATTCATTAAATTCAAAAGTACATTTAATTTAATCAACTGTTTGATTTTTAACTTTATATTATTCATTGAAAATTTAACATTTTTTATAACATCATTTTGATTTACACACACACACACACATACATACACTCTTTTATATGTATGACGTGATATACCACACAGTAATTATTATTATTATACATCAATATAATAATATATAAGCATAGTACATTCCTACTTTCATTGTATTTAGTACATAACATTTCAATTGTGAAAATGTAAAAGTAAGTTATTATTTAAAAACCAGGAAAAAAAACATGTATACTTTTCTAAAATGATACGTGTTTGTAACAAGTGCATTTTATTATCCGAAGTTCATGTGGTAATGATCACATTAGTATAGGGTATGTAGAAAATGATGAGTTTTCACTAACCCTCAGTGGTTTAGTGTCTGAAGTAATTTCAGAACGGTATCAGAAAACTCGGTTGAAGTTTGACAATTTGTGTCGCTTATGGGGAAGTCGATATGTCTATTTGCTAAACAAAAAGTATGTATACTGTGCAACAGTTCGCTTTCTCTATTGCTTAACGGGAGCGAAACATAGTCTATGGAAGTAGAAGACATATTTAACCGCAGAATTTTGGTCATCAGTCTTTGAAACATTGTTCGCACTTCATAGAACAACTGAATAGTCAGTAATAAGATTAGGCATAGTAGGTACCAGAGAGAGATGAAAAATAGGTTTGTGAGACTGTATTTTCATCAACAAAGGTGGTTAGGACATATTTTGAGTATGCTTTAGCACCCAAAATCTCAATAGGCAGAAGTCGGTTGGGAGACAGCTAAGAGAGGCCAACTGAAGACATAACATCAATCCATGAAGTCTAAGTCATACCAGTAGATGCAAACTACATGGATGGGGTTTGTGCAATGATCACAGCTAGTGGCTGGAGATTCTGAATGGAAGGGCTCAACACTAGGCACAATGACGCATATGCGTCCACTCCTCATTCTAAATTAGATTTTCGGCAGCAACGTTTCTTAAAACATACCTTCGAATTCTATATTTTCCGGCTATATTCTCAATGGTTAGACCCTTATAGTACAAACGTCACAACATTCTTTCAATCTCTTTGGCTATTCATTTCGTTGTACTAATATGAAGTATTAATTTGGATCAACAAACATCTACGTCAGGCTGTACGTTGATGACAACTAGCTAACTGAATAATACGGTGACCAGTGATGTGTGACATAAAATCTTGATGTTAAACGTTAGAATCTTAACTAGAATGAGATATACGGATGGCAGAAATCTAATTATAAAGAGCCTACACTCTAAGAATAATCAATATAAGTGCCAGTTATCGTTCGTCCTTTAAGAAAGGATTCCCAACGATTAGGCCTCAATCTTGGATAGTACTTCACACAAAATAACCTAAACAAATCTGTAACTAGAAATTGTTGCCCATAATCTTGTGAACTGATTTGCAATAAAGTGAAGTACATCATTAATACTACATATGATAGTACAGCTGATGGTTGGATTGTATTAGAAAATACTAATTTCGGTTAGTTAGTTAGTTACAACGTAGAACTTCGTGCGTAAGTACATCAATTCAGGTTGCCATACCACATTAGCACAGAGACGCGATGGTCCATTCAAATCCTATAGTAGTAGAGGTAGTAAAAGTATTAGACGTAATGGGATAGATAACGATTCGAAGATATTATTCAAGAAGTATAATTCAGTACAATAAATTTGGAATGTAAAAGATTTTGAGCCGTAACATTGTTCAAGGTCTCTAACCATAGGTTACTAACGTCTCTTAGACCCCAACTAGGTAGTCGACACCTGCAACATGACTCAGACCACTTGTCAGTGACTTCATGGATTTATGTCATGTTTTGGCTTGGTCGTCCTTAGCTTTCTTCCAACCTATTCCTCCATCGTAAAACATAGCTCGTCGAGGCAGTCGGTGGTTAGGCATACGCAGAACATGTCTCAACCATCTCAACTGATGAAGTTTCAATACTTCATCTATTATTGATTTGCCATCCCTACCTAATACTCGTCTCCTAACAACTGCATTGCTTACCCGGTAAACTTATATTTGGAAAATAAATTATACATTTTATTTAAGCGATCTAACATTGAATTTATTGTAATGTTGTTGATGATGATCTAGTTGGTGTCAGTTTTATTGATCATAAAAAAACAGAGAAAAATTACTATTAACTAACATAAACTGTGAGGCATAATTTTGTTTAAATCATAAAACCAAACAATGAACAATTCAATAGTGAATAAAATGAAATTTCTAAAAACAAAATATGAATTACTAGCTAAGTTAGTTAGTTAGTTAGTTGCAACGTAGAACTTCGTACGTATGTACATAAGTTCATATTGCCATAGCACATTAGCACAAAGACGCAAATGTCAAATCAAATCTCATAGTGATAAAGAGATAGTAGAGGTATTAATGGTAATGAAGAAGACTAGGGTTTGAAGATATTATTCAAGAAGTATAATTCAGAGAAATAAGGTTAGAAAGACAAAGGTAGAGATGTTGACGAATCCAGAAGATTAGGATTTGAGAGAGCACAATGAATGGATGCACTTGCGCCATTGCAAACGATTTTGAGCCATGTCGTTCAAGGTCTCTAACCATTGATGACGTTCGTCTCGCGGACCCCAAACAGGTAGTCTACATCTACCAACATGGCTCAGTCCACTTGTCAGTGACTTCATGGATTTCTGCCATATTTTGATCTGACCGCCCCTAACTTTCTTCCAACTTACTCCTACACCACAAAACATAGCTCGTTAAGCTAGTTAAGTAAAAACGAATAAATAGAAAATTACCTCCAGCTGAATGAGTTATCCATATTATAGGTCGATGACCAACTTGAGCTTTTTTCAATTGTTTCATAATATCCACAGCACGTTTATCTAATGTACGTCTAAGAAAGGAAATAAGTAGAGAAGATTCATTATACTCTAGTAGTTGATTTTATAAAAAATTTTCAATAAATATGGATAACAGTGTCGATGATTAGATGCCTTGAATATATTATTTAAATGATTACATCATCAATACAGTTGTAATCCCTAATCTTCTCTATTACTGTTAGTACTTCTACTATCGCTACCATTATGTAATTTGAACTGGCAGTTGCTGACCGGAAACTATCGTAAACCAGAACGACCAGTGAAAAAAAGCAAGGAAGGCAAAGTAAACAGAAACACTGAAGGACAGCGAAATAGGTGGGTAGAGCGCTTTCAGGAACTCTTGAATCGACCAGCTCCACTGGACACATCCAACATCGAAGCAGCATCCACGGACCTCCCAATTAATATTGGCGCACCTACAGTGGAAGAGATCAGTATGGCCATCAGACAAATCAAGAGCGGCAAAGCAGCAGGACCAGACAACATTCCAGCAGAGGCAATCAAAGCAGATGTAGAATCAACTGCAAAAATATTTCACAATCTCTTCAAGAAGATTTGGGATGAGGAACAAGTACCATCAGATTGGAAAGAAGGATACCTGATCAAAACAACAAAGAAAGGCGATCTGAGCAAGTGTGAGAACTACAGAGGCATCACTCTTCTTTCTCCTGGTGATCGACTGGATTATGAAGACGTCGACATCTGGAGGGAAGCACGGTATCAACTGGACAATTAGGACGCAGCTAGACGATCTGGACTTCGCAGATGACCTGGCTCTTCTATCGCACACGCAACAACAAATGCAAGCGAAGACGATCAGTGTAACAGCAGCCTCTGCAGCAGTAGGTCTCAACATACATAAAGGAAGAAGAGAAATTCTCCAATGCAACTCAACATTCACCAACCAAATCACTCTTGATGGAGATGCCTTGGAGGACGTTAACCCCGCTTACATATCTTGGCAGCATCATCGACGAGAAAGGTGGATAGGATGCAGATGTGAGGGCACAGATTGGCAAAGCAAGGGCTGCATTTCTACAGTTGAAAAATATCTGCAACTCCAAACAACAACCAACCAAAACCAAAATTGGACAGAACTGGAAAAGAAGGTGTTCACGACAGAACAGGTTGGAGAATCCTAGTCGACGGCCTATGCTGCTCCATCAGGGGTAACAGGCGTAGGTAAGTATTTAATGTCTACAATTATCATGTCATTACCCCCTTCACATAATACATAAAATTTCTAATAAATCCACTCATAATCAATGATCTTGAGAGATTACGAAAAAAAAAGAAGATTGTCATATTTAAAATTGCATTACGGGGTTGTTGTGAAGATTGTTAAGTTTTTTATTTGTAACCATGAATCGATCAATGACTGTTAGACCACCATTAGAAACCTGGAAGCACTGAAAGACAGCCGTTTTGTCCTGGTTTGGGGGACTCATCAGCCGTGCGCATCCATGATTAATTTGACAGACTTTGAACTAAACCAATTACACAATAAAAAAATCAAACAATGTCAACAATATTATAATTAAATAATAATCTTACCGTAACTTTTGAAGTGGACAAATTGGATGCCATACAAATGGCTTTAATGAAGTATCAACACCGATAATTCGAGCTTGCGGGAATCGATGAGAAAGCCAATCCTGTGAGAAAAAAAAATAGAATTATGCATAATAAAAAAATATTTATTACATATAAAGTAGAATTTGATCTTTTTTTTTCTACAATAAAAAGGTTAAAATTTACTGATTGTTTTGATTGATATCATCTTTTACATTTTCATTTTAAACAGGTTGTGTTGATAGATAGAATTGAATAATAATATACACATTTGAAATCATCAATCAATCATTGTTGGACCACCATCAGAAACCTGGAAGCACTGGACGGCCGTTTCGTCCTAGTAAGGGACTCCTCAGCAGTGCGCATCCACGACTCCTGCTCCTCGGAGGATTCGAACCCGGGACCTTTGGCATTGTAGGCGAATGCCTTACCATTGGTAGTTACTGCCTACACCCGACAGGGTTGAACTCCATTGGTCAATCAAACACAAATGGGTGAGGTCGCGCGAAATCCCTAGATCAATCAGAGTTAGACATTAACACCGTTGGATGCCGGCCCAGTGGTCCGATAGTAGGGCGTTCGCCTACAATGCCAAAGGTCCCGTGTTCGAGTCCTGCGAGGAGCAGGAGTCGTGGATGCGCACTGCTGAGGAGTCCCATACTAGGACGAAACGGCCGTCCAGTGCTTCCAGGTTTTTAATAGTGGTCTAACAATGATTGAATGATGATTTCAAATGTATAAAAACGCAAACCTCCAAAACTGTGCCCCAAAATAATAATATAGTTGAGTGAACATTTTGATTATTGGTTATATTTAAGCAGTTTTGAAGCATTGACTAGATTTTGTGAAATCTATCTTGTTGGAAAATGTGTTACATGAGAGCATTGAGAGCTTTTGTTCAGTGTGAATTTATGCTACTATAACCAAAATAGCAAACAATAGATATCTTTCATTAATTTTTCAAATTAGTTTCAATAAGCTAGCTAGCTCTTTTGTTTTAATTGAAATTAGCATGAGAAAATTTTTCACTTTGAATTGGATATTTTTTTTTGAATGAGATGCATTCTATCTATATTCACTAATCCGAGAAGAAAAAAATTTAAAGTACTTTACAATAATATCAAGTTACGTCATTTAGGGAAAATATGATGCAGTGGAAGGAAGATGATGACTTTCTGTCAGGCTAAATTATGCTCGCCAACTGATATGCTTGAATGCTACTATTATGAGTTCACATTACTCGATAAACAGAACGAAGAGCAATGACTCAGTGACACGATAGGTTTTACTAATCCGATTGCCTCTGGCCCTGCTAACTAAATCACGAAGTCTTGATGAGGAGTAAAGAGTGTATTCTACAAGCACTCGGAAAATTCTAGGTTGCTAGGTATACAAATCAAGCTTATTTATACAATGATAGCAACGTCCTTGGGAGAGCCACAGAATAGCGTACTAATAAAATCCGCCAGCCAATGACAGTCAAGTAATTCCGAGCGGGAAATATAAGCTGTAGGTTGGTCAACTAAACTTCGCTTGACGCAAAAACATAAAGCTTCAAATTTTCAGAATAAAATTACAAAATTAGGATCTTTTCCAAGTGAGCTCTAAGGATCTAACGTCCTTAACATATTCGTTCAAACCATGACCCTGTTACGACAAAGATCAATAAGTATTGATGCGTATAGCGCTCTTCAACAACTGATTAAAATTTATCGAGAATAATTATACAGTTGCGAAATCCATGCATCAATTCATTAACAAGTGAAATAAAAACCTGTTCAAAAACTCTATCTTCTATTTTCAGAAGTAATTCCAGTATGCTTATTATTATGAGGAAAATGATAAAATATTACTACGCCTAGAGGAACCAGTTGTTCTACTATGAAATATATGAACATAAAACAACAGTATTGTTTGTTTTAATACAAATATACCAGTGGTTATTGTAACTTGTAAGTAAAACATGAATGTTTGTTGTGTTTTATTCATTGGTCTAAAAATGACAAACATCATTCAGGATAACTACAATATACATATGTTAATATATATAATGTATAATACTTACTCTAGGCCAACATTTGGTATATTGTGTAGCATCTTTGCTAAGCATTGAATCATGTTGTCTCCAAGTAAAGAAAACACTACCCAACATACCATTTACAAAAATAATATCAAAATCATAATCATCCTTGATATTGCTATTGATAGAAAGAGGAAACAAATGGAAAAAAACAAAGAATAAACTATACAACAGCAATCAGAAACAAATTTGACTTGTTAAAAACAAGAAGGAAAATCAATGAAATGTTACTGGAGAATTCCTATAATCAGTCGTCAATGCTGCAACTAGATCGGTGTGTGTTATGCATGCGCATTGAAACGTCAATTTGATATGCTTGAGCAATTACGAGTTTATCTTAGTTGGAAAACGAGAGCGAGGATCCAGCGACACGACAGGCTACTCTAATCCGATTGTCCCAAACCCCCATTGAGTAAAAGAAGAAGATTTGATATGAAGTAGAACCTGTATTCTACAAGCATCCAGAAAGTACGAGGTCCGAGTCCAGAAGAGGATGAGGATCCCGGGTTATAAAACGTTACAGTGTGTTAGTTCGATTGCAAAATTTAGTTATGAACCAAAACTTGGATAGACATTTGAATGTTAGCTTAAGAGAAGAAGAGAAAATCTCCTTTTTTTAGATAGATATTTATGCATAAGAAAGATAACTAACTGCAACAATTTATATTCAAACTAATTTTAGAAAGAAATGGGCAATGTTACGCTCGTCACTAGGAATGCTTAGAACTATTACGGGTTCACCTTAGTCGAATAACGAGACAATGAACCAACGTTCAGGTAGGCTACTCTGATCCATTGACCAAAAAATACTAACGAGAAGTCTTGATATAGCGTAGGAAGTGTATTCTACAAACAACCAACCAGCACACAAATCACGTTTAGTTATACACCATAGAGACGTCCTTGGGACAGTCACAAAAATAGCACACTAAAATAACGCAGTAACCAATCACAGCCACGGCTTTTCCTGGTGGGAAATGTGATCTCAAGGTCAGCTGATCGGCCCATGAATAAATTACAAAATATAAAGACATTTACCAAGCAAGTTCTGAGGATCTAACAACCCAACAGGTAAGCGACAAGTGCATTAGCTTTAACATGTATCATAACTCGATAACAGTTTGGTGAATTCAGAATTGATTAGTCAATCATAGGGGAAAAAAGGGTTGAAATTACATTTTTTTTTCTTCAAAAAAATCGAATGATTTCTATCATACTTTTTTGTTTCATAATGCCAAGTTTGAAAGAAAAATATCACTGATCTCTTTCTAACTGTGTGTAAAATCAATTTGATAAGAATTCGAAAAAAAAATTTTTTTCCACATATACACATGTTTACTACTACTACTAATACACTGACAAATCACATGATCAAAAAACACAAAATTGAAATTTATTAATGAGATGAATTATTATTATTATTGTTTTTTCAAAAAGAATTTTTGTTGATTTGAAAATTACAATTTACTAGACTGTTGATGCAATAATCATCATCATCATAATAATAATAATAACAATAATAGTAAAATATTCAAGTTTGTAGAGTAAAACAACGTGTAGCAGGAAAAAACAACAATATTTTATTGTTAAATAGAAAAACAAACTGTTACACAAGTAAACAGTGTAAACGTGTTCAACATGTAAAACTCTATCTAAGCAATATAAAATTATTTAACTAGAGTAATAATATATTCATTATTGAAGAGTCTTAAAATAATCATTAGCAAAAAGTCTAGAGAAACACATATGAAAAACGCTTGGAAACATTTTATTGAAAATACGAGATTTCCTGGATATGTCTGTTTACAAAAAAGTGAAAGATTACATGTCATATTTGGATTGAATAATTTACTCATCAAACGGTAGTATGTCTGTAAAACGTTTTGAAAAATCAACGGCATAAGAGATTCTATAATTCGTTTGAATGGGTGATAAGTAATTCACTTTGAAGTTGTTGAGAACGTTAGATCCCGCAGAACTAACTTGGAAAAGGTCGTAATTTTGGATTTTTTTTGTGTTTCCGCGCATAAGCTGTTTAGTTGACCTTGAGAATACATTTCCCAACTCGGAAAATTGTTGACTGTCATTGGTTGATGGATCATTTTAGTACGCTACTTTTGTGGCTCTCTCAAGGACGTTTCTATCATGTATAAATAAGCTTGTTTTATGTGCTTAGCGACCTCGTATTTTTTCGGTGCTTGTATTATACACTTTCTACGCAATATCAAGACTTCTTGATATAAATAGCAGGACAGTGGACAACGGATTAGAATAACCTATGGTGACACTGCATCATTTGTCTTCACTCTCGTTACCGAGTAGTGTGAACTCGTGATAGTTTCAAGTATATCAATGGACGAGCATATCAGAAATAAAATTGTTACTTACACTTTATGTCTCTTTTTCTATTGTTCAAGTTGAAATGGAGGTGTAGTTTTAAATTCCTAAGAAACTACTACTAGGAAATCAGTAAATAAGCATTCCAGTAGCGGACTGATCAATAACCAATTTATCATGTAGTGATTTTACATAACGTTCAGAGATTAATGATAATCATTTGTTGTTGTCAAGTATTATGACTAATATTTACCAGTATGTACACACTATCGTGGGATGTCAGAATAGGTTACTTCATGAAGGAGGAAGGTGTTAGGGATTATTAGTCAGGATAATGGAAACAATACATTACATTGAAAAGGATAAAAGATTGCTTTTCCTAGTATACATTTTGGTAGTTGTCAACAAGAGAGTTAACTGTTGAGGATATTAAAGGTTGAAAGAATCACTACAGATCATAAGATGATATCACACAATTCAGGCAAATGTACTAAACTTTAGTACATTTCAAAGACTTTTAGTAAACTAAATCCAATATTTAGCTAAATAAGAACATTGACTAGTTACACGAATTATTTTTACTACAATTGAAACTTAAAATAAGATTAGGGTGATTAGGTTAAGATTAACGATTCAGAGTTGATGGTCAAAAGAAATGAAGTTTGGAAATTCGAATTTAACGTTAACAGCTAGCAGTATTGATAAGCAATCAAGTGAACGAATGCTATGTAGACCTATACAGGTGTTAGGATATTCATTAAATATTCTAAATAAATTATTTTGTAAGTCTAATTCCATTGGTCAATATTTAAGGCGTCCTAAACTATCAAGTTCATATACTTCCCTATTGGTTAGTATTCACGGTCGACATAACTGTATAAATATGCATTGTCCATAAGGTTTCATGCTACTCCTCTTCTTCTATACAAAACCTCCATTTTAAGGGTGCTTGTAGAATACACTTTTTACGCCATAATCAAGACTTTTTGATACCTTTAGTGGGAGGGGGGTTGGGACGCTCAGATTATACTAGCCTATCGTGTCAATGGATCATTTGTCTTAGCTCTCGTTTACCGACTAAGGTACAAGCATATCAATGGACAAAACATATTGTCCATATTCCTTAGTCTTTACAATTTGATCGATTTTACGCATCCATTAACCACTCATATCTTAAATCTCATTACTTCGTTAGTATAGCACACACTTGTACTAATATCATACTTTTAAGAAATATTAATACTGTGTGAACAACAGAAAGAACAGTTTTCATTTTCATATTATTGTAACTAAAAAATGTCGACGCGAAGAAAATAAACATATTGATCGGTGTTAAAGTGAAATTTACTAACTGATAAATAATAATAATAATAACATCGTGTGTATACAAGAAGTATATAGCATGTCAACGCAGAGTATAAGCTGAAAAAATATTTACATCATGATACAATTATGCACCATGTGTAACGAGGTAAAACTATGCCCCGACCAGTTTATCCTTAGGCTATGCCTATATATCCAAAAATAAGAACGTACCAATATTGTGTTTTTTTAGAAAAAAATGTACAGAATAGGTAGAACTAGAATGTAAATTAGTTCTAGAGGAAGTAAACATGTGATGATGATGTATGTGTTTATGTGAATAAGGTAGTTGGATCGTATTGGGAACAAATTTATTATCGTACAATAACAAATTGTAGTTTAAGGTATGAAATATACCAACATATATTGATCTTAACAGAATGAAAAAAAACAAGAAGCCCAAGTCTAATAATCATCATACTTAAATTAAGCTTTGAAGTAATTAGTACCCGAAATAAGTAGATGGGTTTGATAGATTATAATTAGGATGAAGATATTGAAGAAACGATAACTTCCAGAAGTAATTTATGGACTATTATTACTATTATATATGTTGAGGGCGTTAGATCCCCAGAACTCACTTGGAAAAGGTCCTAATTTTGAATTTTTCTATGTTTTCGCGCATAAGTCGCTTAGTTGATCTTCAACTTACATTTTCCCCCTCGGAAGATGTTTGACTGTCATTGGTTGATGGATTAATTTAGTACGTTATTTTGTGGCTCTCCCAAGAGCAATGCTATCATTGATTTGTGTGCTTAGCGACTTTGTATTTTCTGATTGCTTGTAGAATACGCTATCAACGCCTTATTAAGACTTCTTGATCTAGTTAGCGGGGTCTGGGACAAACGAATTAGAATAGCCTATCGTGTCGCTGAGTCATTGCTCTTCGTTCTGTGTACCGAATAAGGTGAACTCGTAATAGTTTCGAGCATATCAGTATAATTATTAGGGAACTAGATTACTATGTACATATATATATTCAGTTACACAAGCTTCCGGTTGACTCATTAAACACTATTGTAGGACTTATTATTTGTAATTAGTTTCTAAGTTCATTACTTTAAGCCTCCTCTTCTCACAATCACATTTGACTGGTTCGTATTTTTCAAGTTAAGGTGTGGTATGCTCTGGTATGTATCTGTATGTATGTAAAAACAACGTCTGTTTGAAATATAAACATAGTAGAGGCTGACTTCTGGGCTCAAATTTTGGGCATAGAAAAGAGCTAACGAAAAGAAACTAACTGGTATCTAGGTGTTCGCTTAAGGGTCAATAGTGCTGCTGGTCAATGCGTGTCATTTCCGAAGTCAGAGATATTAAACTATAGAGATTATATAAAACACTAAATTAGAACGAAGACTTTGGATTGATGACTTAGTACGTGATATTAATCAGTAGCTTAAAGGTATAACACAATGCAAACTTGGTAATTTTTATTACAGAAACCTGGATCAATTCGTAAAGCGTAGGCAATTCATACCACCTAACAAGATCGATCTAGTGTGACTATTATTACTATTAATAGAATCAATTTATCAATCATATACAGATCCATTTGTTCAGGCTTGAAGTTATAAATCACAGTGATTGAATAGTAACTGATTAAGTTGGCATTCAATAAGTAATAGATAGATGCATTCCTATGAACTAGTTATGAAAGTATTCTTTAAACATAACACAACAAAACAATGAACACAAATTGACCTTACTTATGGTAGAAAAAACACAAACAAACAAACAAGGTCAATGGAGTGATGAGAAATATTGGTGAATATTGGCGACATCAAAAATTATGCAAACTAATTAATTAGAAATGTAAAAAATAAGAGTAACATTTTCAAAAAATAAAAAAAGTCTCTTATACATACATAAACTTACTTGGAATCATTTAAATTATAAACATCTGGACAATAAATAGGAAATGAATTAGGCGAATCAGAACATGAACTGTCAGTCATTTTAGAATGAACAGTTAAATTATGATCAATTTTGGCACCGAATAAACTTAAATGCAAACTTGTTGAAGCTTTCCAAAGGCTGATTAATCTATGAATATCTGATTTAAAAAAAAAGTAACAACAAGAATATATATAGATGTACTATTTTCAATTAGAGTAATGAAGATTAGTGTTTGTCGCACATTGAAATTAACCAATCAATCAATCATTGTTAAACCACCAGTCCGTCAGTCAGCTGCAACGTAGAACTTCGTACGTATGTACATAAGTTCATGTTGCCATACCACATTAGCACAGAGACGCAATTGTCGATTCAAATGTCATAGTGGTAGAGATAGTAGGAGTACTACTGGTAATATAGAGGATTAGGGTTTGAAGATATTATTCAAGAAGTATAATTCAGTGAGATAAGTTTAGAAAGACAAAAGTAGGGGTGTTGACGAATCCAGAAGATTAGGATTTGAGAGAACACAAATAGTGGATGCACCTACGCCATTGCAAACCATTTTGAGCCATGTCATTCAAGGTCTCTAACCATTGATGACTTTCGTCTCGCGGACCCCGACCAGGTAGCCTACATCTACCAACATGACTCAGTCCACTTGTCAATGACTTCGTGGCTTTCTGTCATGATTTGGTTTGGCCGCCCTTAGCTTTGTTCCAACCTACTCCTACACCACAAAACATAGCTCTTCGAGGCAGTCGGAGGTTACTGATATTGTTAAACCACCACCACTAATTAGCAGTGCACATCCACGACTCTTGCACCTGGCAGGATTCGAACCCTAGGACCTTTGGGCCTTGCGCACGAATGCATAAGTGAACGACTGTTGCCTAAATCGAGTTAAGTAAAATTATGGATTTTTCAGAATACAAAACCAATGTGAACATAGTGTTAAACTAACTTATGTCACGCATGGTACGTGTTTTATATTTTAACATTTTTAAAAAAAAATGTATGTGTAAAACATTTCTTTTCAAAGTGTTAAGATAACAGGTAAATCTCTGCAAAAATCCCTGTATTTGACAGTAACATATTTGTGTGATTTATTAATCTAGCAAGTTTCTTTTGTTTTTCAATCTAATGAAGTTTATTGCTTAGAACGAAACAGCTATTTAATACTTTGCTGGTTTTTAATGGATCACTACTAATCAGCGGCAATAGTCTGTGATGAGAAAGTAAAACGCTATGCATAAGTTGTTCAAAATTGTTTCAGTGATATATCTATCAAGCAATGCACTGGTGAGAGTAATCATCTATTGTACGAACAGATAAGGTTCAATTTCCGATGTAAACAATTTTAAATAATGGAATTTAAGCAGGGATGATTCACAATGTTGTTTTACAAATCATCTGAATAACTTTCAATGTTTGAAGAGAATTTAACATACACTTTTTATTGATGTCGACAGGTGAAATGTGGATTCGTATAGAAGATTGAATAAAAGAGAAAATTATACTGAAAGTGTCAGGTTGCAAGCATATAAACATCCACTTGTACTTTTGCCTATTATATGTAGTGACATAATCTCTTTCATTTCATTGTGATTATCACTCCAATTGCCTTGATTGGTTTAATATTTTCATAGAAATATTCATGTATATATTAGAGTAAAGCCTGATGACGATCTAATCGGAAACAATATTGTTCGCTTATATGTGTTGTCATAATATAAACATCAGTCAGTCAGTTACATCGTAGAAATTTGTATGTAGGTACATCGGTTCAGGTTGCCATACCACATAAGCACAGAGACGAAACTTGTAACAGCACGCAAGACCAAGTTGGTCACAAACATATATAAACATACGTATTCACTTGTAGTTTAAATATTCGATACAAATTATTCAATGTAAGGATGGAACTATACTATGAACAAATTTATGCGAATGATAAATTCAACACTTTAAACTCAATTGCATGTGTGAACATCTAGAAGTGGAATACACATTCTCCATCCAACTGACGAGTCCTACACATAGGACGAAATGCTCTGTTAAACACGAATTCATTAATTCTATGATAATTTTCAGACCAGGTAAACGAAAAATTTGTAAATGGAAGTTCACAGTTTACAAACAAGTATTTTTTTTCTTTTCACACAACAATAATAAGCAGAAAAAACATTCGGACAATTTTTCAACCAATCAATCAATAAATATTTCACTTTGTTTATGTTTGTAGATAGAAAAGATAAATGAAAAGTAGAGAATATTGAAAAACAGAGGAAACATTTATCAAAAACTAAAAATAAATGTCCATTTTCTTCTACAAGTGAAATAATGCGTGCTTGAATGAAAATAGAGAGAATACAATACAACGGAAATTCCTTTTTGAATTAAAAGCAGTTACTTAAATTAAGTGATTTTTAAAAGAAAAAAACTTCTATGCGTAAAAAATCTAAGCGATTGAACTTTGAGTAAATTTAACATTTTGCTCGACAATCTCGGTTCAAACTTTTATTTCTTTCTAACCTTATCTCACTGAATTATACTTCTTAAATAATATCTTCAAATCCTAGTCTTCTTCATTACCATCAATACCTCTACTATCTCTATCATTATGGGATTTGATTTGACATTTGCGTTAATGTGTTAATGTGGTGTGGCAACATGAACTGATGTACTTACGTACGAAGTTCTACGTTGCAAGTGATTGACTTATTTCAAGGAAATATAATCCAACATCAAAACTATCGAATGTAAATATACAAGATGCATCGATTATCATTTGCTGGCTAAATAAATCATTCCGTTATGTTGTTAACTATGTAGAAAGTGGTAATAATCATAGTGTGTATGGATGAATACATTTGGTGTGAAGTGCTAAGATTGCTAAGTGAATTTACTTATAATGCAATTGCTAAGATTTGTACACATTTAATTTGTTTCTTTAATGGCTAGGTGCCTAATTACTGTCAGTCAATCAGTTACAACGTAGAACTTCGTACATAGGTTCAATTTGCCATACCGCATTAACACAAAGACGCAACTGTCAGTTCAAATTCCATAATGGTAGCGATAGTTGAAGTATTAGCCGTAATGAAGAAGATTAAGGTTCGAACATATGATTCGAGAAGTATAGTTCAGTGAGATAACTTTAGAAAGAGAAAGATAAGGGCAATGACGAATTCAGAAGGTTAGAATTTGAGAGAACATAAAGAGTGGATGAACCTGCGCCATTGCAAACGATTTTGAGCCATGTCATTCAAGGTCTCTGACCATCGGTGACTTTCGTCTCGCGGACCCCGACCAGGTAGCCTACATCTACCAACATGACTCAGTTCACTTGTCAGTGACTTCATGGATTTGTGCCATGTTTTGATCTGGCCGCTCCTAACTTTATTCCAACCTAATCCTACACTACTAAACGTTAGCTCCTCGATACAATCGGTGGTTAAGCTTATGTAACACATATCCCAACCACCACCACCACCTAATTACTGTGAAACTATTCATTCCACACATGTAATCGAAAGTTTGTACGAGTGATTTTTATTTTTTTTTAACAAGCCTTAATCTTTTATTAAATAGATCAATGGACAATTTTTTTTAAAAAAAAATGAGAAATCGAAAAAAGCCAGATATTTATGGTAAAATTCAAAATTGTGAAAAAAAACAAACAAGTTCATAAAACAAAACAGGATACATGTGTATTTACGTTGTATATTTACGAATTATATAATCAAAACTGTGTAACAACACAAAATCTTGGAAAATATCCGATAAACAAACACAATCAAATAAATGATCAATATATATATATAAGCCATTGTTTTTATTTTTTCAAAAATCTAAATCGATTTGGTCATGTGTAAAAAATTGACACGATTCCAGTGCTGACTTACTTACTTACACACAGAAAGTAACAACTTCATTGAAATGTTCATCTTTACTTATTTTTAATTTATTTACAAATCTTTATCTCTCACACACACTATCTATCTAGGCGATATAGATATCATCTTACCATAGACACTTGATCGTTTAAATAAAAAAATTTTCTCATTATGTTGTAACAAAACACACACACACACACACAGTAAAAACAACATAATATCATACAACATTTTGACTTACCTTTATAATTAGTTAAACAAGCACTAGATGAATGTTGTGATATGTTTGCTAAGAAATTAGCAACTAAAACATGAATTGAATATTCTGGATGAGCAACAACAGTTGAGGGATTATTATTATTATTATTATTATTATTATTATTATTATTTACTTCTGTAATGAATGAATCAGTAGTATTATTATTCCCATTATTTTTATTATTATCACAATGATTTGACTTGTTTGTCCATTGATTCATTGATGGTGAAATATGATTTGTTTCAATGAGCGATGTATTATTACTATTACTATTATTATTATTATTATTATTATTATTATTATTTGAATTATTCAATGCTGAAAGACTGATTGAAGTAAGCCAATTAATTAAATGTTCAAAATTTTCACATTGAAATAATAAATTCAAGTACCTAGGATCCTTAAAAAGAAAACGGAAAATAGATGATGAGAATGATGATGGGCATTTGCAAGAAAACGTTTTCAATTGGTTAGAAATAAATATTGATCGAAAACGATAATTGAAACTCATTTAATATTATAATGGATAACTGTTGTTCTACAAATTCCATTTATCAATAAATGTAGGTTGGACATTAGGGTACCGGAATGTCAACTCCTATCAACCACCATCTAACCTGACATAAAATGTTGACTAAATAAGTTGGAACAAAATTAGTGGCAACTATACGAAATCAGAGTATCAGTATATGAAGTCACTAACTGTTGATCTAAGCCATGTTGTTAAGTGTCAGTCAGTCAGTTGCAACGTAGAACTTCGTACGTATGTACATCAGTCCAGGTTGCCATACCACATTAGCACAGAGACGCAACTGTCAGTTGAAATCCAAGAGTGATAGCCATAGTAGCAGTATCAGCAGTAATGGAGAAGATTAGGGAGCGAAGATATGATTCGAGAAGTATAATTCAGTGAGATAAGGTTAGAAAGACAAAGGTAGAGATGATGAGGAATTCAGCAGATTAGGATTTGAGAGAGCACAAAGAGTGGATGCACTTGTGCTATTGTAAACGATTCTGAGCCATGTCATTCAAGGTCTCTAACCATTGGTGACTTTCGTCTCGAGGAACTCAACCAGGTGGCCTACATCTACCAACATGACTCAGTCCACTTGTCAGTGACTTCATGGATTTCTGCCATGTTTTGGTTTGGCCGCCCCTAGATTTCTTCCAACCTACTCCTACACCACAAAACATAGCTCGTCGAGGTAGTCGGTGGTTAGGCATACGTAACACATGTCTCAACCACCTCAACTGATGAAGTTTCATTACTTCATCTATCGATCTGCCATCCTTACCTAGTACTAGTTTCCTAACGGCAGCATTGCTTACACGGTTGTCCCACGATATACGAGCAATGCTTCTTAAACATCTATGATCGAATACTAGTAACCTACGAACATCTTCTACTCTTAACAGCCATGTTTCGCATCCATATAGGAGAACGGAGCGAACTGCTGCGCAGTACACCCGTCCTTTGGTTAGCGAACGGATATCACGCCTACGCCATAAGTGACGCAGGTATGTTGTTAAGTGTAGATAATGTGGTGGGGGTTCATGTTATTATCAATACTAGCTGCTGAAGACGTTGAGTGTTGGTTCAGAATCAGTTGTAGCAGCACAAGAGTATTCACTTCTTATCTTCCTTTATATCTAAAGTTCCAAAATGATGACATACCATTTTTCTCTATGCCTAATCTTTCTACAACTTTTGAAATTACAACTATTCTGACGTTCGTCTAGGTAGTTCAATCTTGCTGTAGTGATTTGCTGTGGTAGCTTCCATCGATGAATGCTGCCTATGAATGATTGATCATTTAGCTAACATAACTATGAAATATCTTCTATTCTGATCATCTGTTTTTAAGGAGAGAGGCATTTTACCTATTTCCTCTGGTAATGCCCGACCGAAGCTGCTACCTTGACGTGGTGGTCGGGCTTGCCTATCGTGATGACCCAACCTAGCTATACTGGCTGGAACATATGTTCCTGAAGGTTCTACCATGCCAGGCAGATCGATTGGAGAATGATGAGACTAAAAGCAGCCACTCAAGGTCTGAGGGCGAAGTCGTACTGCTGACTGCAGAGGGGTGTGACAGCAGTAAGGTGTTTCCCTCGGACAACCAGAATCTGCAGCGATGCTGCCTTCTCACAAGGGCTAGAAAAGGTCGACCCTAAAAATGTCACACCTCACCCTACCTCACGGATTTCCGTCTACGGCGGTAAGGGTGCCCACCAAAGGCCTTAAAAAGCGGAGCTAACACTCAAAGAACCTTTCATAAAAAGGCCGTGCGTGACCGGCCTCAAGCAGTTGTCCCTTGGACTCTGCGGTCACGCTCCCAGGTCACCAAGACCAACGCTAATATACCTTCCTTTTCAGGTCCCTCAAGAAACAACCTTCCACGGTGTGGGCAGCCGGGAAGTGATAACCGCTCTCAGACCCCTAACAGCACACGAGACTCTGGTAATGACGACATTTCAAGTGGATTTGAGTAGGAGGATTCAAAGTGATTCAGGACAAGAATCTATTGCACTTTTTTTCTTACAGGTTCGTAACAACAATTAATACATCTAAGTATTAAGAGACATATAGACTGCCCAATCCGTCCATTAATCAACAATTGTAATAATACATACATGGTAGGTCTAATTTCTTGTTAGGGAAAATCTAGATAAATATGTTATTTAAGGCAAAAACGAAATACCACATTGATTTATTCGTTTACTAAACTACTAATTTACGACCTCAACTTTATTTTTAATACAATGAATGAGATCATTGCTATAGTGTTTTCATCTGTTTCGATAACTACAATATGTAGTTAGTTCAAGTTTTTGTAACACAAGCTATGTCGAATGATGATGATGATGATAGCAACAGAATTGCAAATACATTTAAGGTTATGTGTGTTATAATACATATTGATTATAATTTGTAAACTGAATAATTATTATTACAAAATACAAATTATAATGAAATGAAAGTTCATTGAAGTAATTTAAGGAAAATGTATTGAATGGTGTTGACCTTACATTCACCTTAATTTCACCTAAAAATCAATAGAGTGATTTTTTCTCCCTCATACATTGTATATGTGGTTTCAGCAAGGCTTAGTATATACATATATAAAAAGCATTGTTGTTAACGGAATGATCATTATTTGGACTAGCTTCAATTAGGTAATGATGTTATAGTTAAGAGAGCATAATGTACAGTGTATCATGAAAAATAACTTAGGGAGCACATGTTTGTAGTAATACATTAAAATTGAGAATGCCTTAAAATAACTAGGCTTATTAGAAAATTATTATGAGTAAATAGCATTTGTCACATTCTATATTACGTAATGCTCGATCATCAAGTATTTCGCAAGGACTAATGTTAGGATATTCATCAAATATCCTAAGAGAATTATTATTTTTGTAAGTCTCATTCTATTAGTCAATCAATTCCTACTGGTCAATATTATGGACGTCCTAGCCATCAACATCACGTACTTCAATGTTGTTTCCCATTGGTCGTCCTGACTATTAATGTCACTTCAAATGTTGTTTCCTATTCGACCTGACTGTATATATACGCATTATCTGTAACGTTTTATGACCACGACCAGGACCCGGATCTCTAGTCCGGGATCCTGATTCTCTTCTGACGTCGGACCTCGTACTTTCTGGATGCTGGTAGAATACATGTTCTATTTCATATCAAGTCTCTTCCTTCTACTCAATGGGGGGTTGGGACACTTGGGTTAGAGTAGCATATCGTATCGCCGGATCCTTGATCCTCACTCTCGTTTTCCAACTAAGGTAAACACGTTATAGTTCAAGCATATCAAATTGACGTGTCGTCGTTCATACATAACAACTAAATACATATTTAGCCTTTCGTTTTCATTTAGTTTTCAGTAATTGAAATCCTAATGCTGAAACCATTCAAACAAAACAAACTACTCATTGTTCTAAAAGTCTAAGTTAAGATTTTAACAAAAGAAATGAAATATTTTTTTCCTGACAATGTATTATTAACTGCATAGAAATATTTTTTTTAAAAAAATATCCTACCAAAAACTTACTTTACTATATGAAATCAAAAGATGTAATATATAATCTGTAGTAAGTTTTGGATCTTTACTGAAAGACAATAAGCGATTTCGTTTACGAGAAGTAGGATAAACAACACCGGTAGTTATTCCAGCCTAAAATTTATTAATAAATAGAGAAATTCAATGCAACCAATATAATAATACAAATTTATACAACAGGAGAAATATAGACAGTGACATGCTAAAAACAATATCCAATTCATATGTTGAATGACATCAAGACTTCGTCAGTGTTAACAGTAAATAAAAGATATGTAAGTTGTTAAAGATTATTCAATCAAATAATTTTTTTATGATGACAATATGTTTCGCTGATTCAAATGGATTAATTAATATGGTCACATTGTTGTGAATGAGCAAAAACGCTACAATGTAAGTAAGTAATACGGCATGGTAGGTAACCTGACCTTATGTACGTACGTATGATCTAGGGGTGTGATAGTTCAGTGTACCGATTGGGTCGATTTATTTATGTAAAAGGAATACATTGATGAGATTATCAATGACTGGAAATAAACATTTCTAATGAGAGAAAATGCCGAATACAAACTTTAACAGCAGAGAGATGTTTGTTCCACCTATTCAAGATGAAATGTCATACGTGCGTTGAAGGTAACGGAAAAAAATTTCTCATATCACTGAAAAATTACTTCAAGGAAATATACTTTAGCTGTAAATTTAACAGCACAAATGAAACTATATACAACATAAATTTCTAACTGTAAAAATCAACATAACAGCCCTTCGTTTGGAGAGACAACTATTTGCATCAAAGAGGAACCAATTAATCCATTTCACCAATCATGAATATCAGTTAGTCAGTTACAACGTAGTACTTCGTACGTGCCATACATACATCAGTTCAAGTTACCATACCACGGTAGCAGAGTAGATAAGTAGGACGGAGCGAACTATTACACAGCAGGCAGATGGATATCTCGCCTATGCCATAGGTGACGCAAGTTGGCAAAAGCCAGTCAAGCCGATTATGAGTATACTTTAAGAGATAAGTTTTTCTATGAAGCTTATCTATACAAATTTCTAGAGAATGTTGAATAGTCGATTGATGAATTGTTTAAATTATGTTTGTTTGATTGTTTAATCTGTGATGATGAAACAAAAAGTTATTCATATATTCATATTAAAAACTATTCTCCTAATTCAAAAAATAAACACATGTAAAGCATATACACATTGGGAAATTATAATATGATCAATAACAATCAAAAAATGAGCAGTATTTAAAAATGATAGTCTAACAATCACTACATATATATCCTTAAACAATCCATTATGAGAATGCAAGTTTTGATCATAGTTTAGTTTAGTTTCGCCTACATTTCATATAATGTATCAAATCAGTCAGTCAGTCACATGCAACGTAGAACTTCGTACGTAAGTACATCAGTTCATGTCACCATACCACATCAGCACAGAGATGTAATTGTCAATTTAAATCCAATAATAGAAGAGGTAGTAAAGGTAGTATCAGAAGTAATCGAAGAGGTTAGGATTAGAAGATATTATTCAAGAAGTATGATTCAGTGAGAAAAGTTTAGAAAGTCAAAACTAGAGGTGTTGAAGAATCCAGAAGATTAGGATTTGAGAGAACACAAAGAATTGTGGTGTGTGCTACTTATACGAACGATATAAGTAGTATAAGAATGGACGTGAAAGAAGATGTCTTACGGTCAGAAGAGGAAAACGGAAAGCAAATAGAGCAAAAGCAAGAAAGATTTAGAGCACCGACAGGAAGTAAAGGAAGCAACAGCAGGAATGGAGGAAGGCTGGAGCGTTGGAAGTCAGGACTCAAAGATGGTGTGCAAATGGAGTGTCCAATGTAATGTTATCGTTTTTAATTGACTAAGAGTGTAAATTTGCCAAATACAATCTATCGAGCCTGCCTCAGTCTTCTCAGAATAAATGCACCGGCGCCATTGCGAACGATTTTGAGCCATGTCATTCAAGGTCTCTAACCATCGATTATTATCATCTCGCGGACCCCAACCAGGTAGTCGACAATTACCAACATGGCTAAGTCCACTCGTTAATGACTTCATGGATTTCTGCCATGTTTTGGTTTGGCCGCCCTCAACTGATGAAGTTTCACCACTTCATCGATTGATCTGCCATTCTTACCTAGCACCCGATTCCTAATAACAGCGTTGCTCATTCGGGTGTCCCACGATATACGAGCAATGCTTCGAAGACACCTATGATCGAAAACCAGTAACCGACGAATATCTTCCACTCTCACTGGCCATGTTTCACAGCCATAAAGTAAGACGGAGCGAACTACTGCGCAGTACACTCGTCCTTTAGTCAGCAAACGGATATCTCGCTGACAATGTATCAAATAAATAGTAGTAGTATATCAGCAATAATCAAATTGATGTTAAGAAGAAAATAAGCATATATGCAACTAATTGTATAAAATAGATGAATCTTAGTTTAGCAGTAGTATCCAACACTGTGAGCTCCGTCCTATTGATGGCTGCTGGTCAGCGTGTTGATGCTTACATGTAGAGGCTAAAAAATTCAGTAGATCTTAACTTTAGACAATAACAGTCATCATTATTTCTATTTCTATTATAGTAAAAGTTACTTAGCATGTAAACAAATATACCAAAGGTAATAAACTGTTATAATAATAATAATAATAATAATAATAATAATAATAATAACAGAAATTAATATAAAGTAGCACTTACTTTTACACTTAAATCACATATCATTTGATAAAATAAATTTAATTCATCTGAAGAAGTGCTTCTACTATTACATTGATTATTTGAATTTGTTAAAGGATGATTGTTAACGATCGTAGAAGTAACATTATCATCATTATTGTGTTGATGTTTCACATGATGAATTAAATTGTACAATGTACTTATACCATTACGAATGATAACACTATCTTTCAAAAATGATAATGGTGACTATCCCATATTGGATAAAAGAGGGAAGAAGTTGGAGAAGGAAAGAATAAAAGTGGATTAATTCAAAAATTTTTTATTGTAATAGTCAAACTATCAGAAATTACAGTACTGATAATCAATCTAGTGATACTTTAAAAACATTTTAAATCATCATCAATATTTGCACAGTTTGAAAAAGAAACGACTGGAGTATTTGAGCAAAGATATCATTTTGATCAGTTTTAGTGGCGGCTTTTAATAAGAGTGAAATATATACTATACCATCTAGTCTGGCTTTGGGCAGAAATATATGTTATTGTCATCTGTTAAGTAAAATCAATGGATTCCCTCAGTTATAAACGGACTAACTTAAATATTGGTCAACCTAATTTCTTTGTGAGGATGACAAGAAAATGATGGTACAAAACATGGATCCTCACAAGCAAGTCGAATATAACCCAGTGACGGATAGCAAGGCAAACGTTAGTGGTATTGAAAGCCTATGATCAGTTGATGCCCTGAAGTTTCCAGAACTGTTAACAAGTTCCCGAATACCCTGGTACGATCGAGAGCCTGTTCTCATATAGCCATTACCAGGGACGTCCTATTCACTAATTTACCGTGACACATATGTTTATGAAATTGAGAGGACGAAAAGCGACTGTACGGTGCCTGAACCGCATTGGTGAGTATGGAGGATCCAACTAAGCGAGTTGGGAAACCCTGACTTTAAACCAGTGGCGCACATGAACTCCAAGTTCCTAAGGTAACAAATGGTGTATGAGCCTATGGCTACCATGAGACTGCATCGTCTAACGTTGCTCCACTGCCTTTTAGATTACGTCTGTAGATCATAGGTTCGGGGAGTGCCCGACAGTCAGTTGCTTAGGTTTGCACAGCATGACAGTATCTTAACCTATTCACAAAGCTAATAATTTACGTGATGCATAAATATTTTGGTGCCCCTATGTACTAATATTTGTGTTTAAATAAACAAAAAAATAAATATTGTTAACAAATAAAACATATTTGGATATCCTGAAAGGGGGTGGGCTAGATTAGTATTGATAGTCTCATGGGCCTAGGAACATCAAGGCAATTTTAACTATTCAACATCAGTAATGCATATATGTTTAAATCCGACAAGGAGCACAGAAGTCTGTGGGATTAGCCGCAATCAAGTATTTTAAAGCCTAAAATTCCTTAATACTTCCTTATAGATTTTTCAGCCTCCCAACCAAGATGGGCAGTTTAGTATGACCTGTAGGATTGGAAATCCAGTTTAAAGGACTCGACCGGTTTATAATGATTGTCAAATCTGATATTAACTAGTTGGAATTTATGTCATCATCGAAAAAGGAAAGATTTCCACATGGAAATAATATTCATCTAACATAATTAAGAAAACAAAGTGATCTCACTAGATTTTGTTCTGATGAATAATTGTCATAAGGTGTAGAAATATCTGATTCATTATTATGTTCATATCTCTTTTTCTTACTATCCGTATCATTATGAATGTCGGAATCTCGTCGAGAAAATAATCGTGCCTTTGCAAATGCATATGCACTAGAGAGAAAAAAATAAATAAAAGAAATTGAAACACTATAATAAGTACAGTGGATTGGTACAGTACAGTACATTGGATAAGGCAGGTAAGTTAAATTTACAATTTTGTAGCATTTAGATGAACGATTAAATAAACTTATTTGATTTATGAAATATATGTGATAAAATTTAAAAACTGAAATTTATCTTTTCACCCTTATGTAGGACGAATAATTACAAACTATATATTCATGATGTAATTTCCAAAGACCGAAATAAGAAATGACTGAATCAAGGAAAGATTAAAAAAGCTCTCATGTAGCTCCACTGGTCTTATTATGCAACACTAAATGTTCGTGATAGCATTAAAAGGTATGCCGATACCCTTACGACAACGTCACTTCCAATTGCATTTGTGAATTAACATGTACCTGGGGTAACAAGTATATGGAAGGATGGGGGGGAAGATTTCGACTAGATTTCCCAGGAACCTAAATCCAAGTGATAGTAACGTTTTTACAAATGCAATTATCAGGTATCTTCTGGACAGCAGATATAAAAAGGATACAGGTAAAGCATTTAAAATAATTACCAGAGAACCAACACTAATTTTAACCCGTTTTGCAGAGAGGATCCCTAACAAACTGTTTCCATAAATGTGACTAGCTTTTCTCTGTGTATACTGACTAAATGTTAATCAAATAACTAGTTAGATTTTTAAAAAAACTTTTAACTTTTCCTCTTACAAAATCTTACCAATGTTCACGCATGATTATCTAACCATAATATCACCTACTTCAGTCTACTTCTCAACATATAAATACACATTAGCGATGACTAAGTTTACTCATACATTTTGTATTGTATTCAGAGAAATGTGACAAAAACATTCATCACTACAAAATTCATTCTTTTACTACTTCTATAAGGTTAAGTTTCAAAAATACTACAATGAATCCCAAACTATGGAATGACTTTTGAACAAATCGATGGCATTATTCACAACTAATTTGTAATTCCCGAGTCGCCTCAATTATTATTGATGGAAAACACAACGGTTAAGAAATTTACACTAATTTGCTACTTAGAACTCCAATGTGTTGACCTAAGAAAGGATACAATCTAAAACTGCCAACTTCAATTGTTAAATGCAACTAATTTCAACATATAAAAAAGAAACAACTGAACACATGACATAACAAGTTGTACACTAGAAGAACTAATCCGTGATAAAGTAGAATAGAAGAAACTATCACAAAACAATAAACACACTTCTTACCTCCATATTATGCATAATGTTGATGTTGCTTTAACAGCTATGAATGCAAAGAAATAAATGAATTAAAGTAGGATAGGAGCAAGTCAATAAAGTGGTCGAAAAAAAACAAACTTTTATACACCTTTTTTTCCTTTTTCTTTGTAGTAATCAATCCCAAATCATACAATGATAAATTATTCAACCTTCTTACAAAAGAATATGTGATTGCAAATTACTGACACTACGAATTGGTACAATTCGTATGATTAGAAAGACTATCGATATGACTATGAAAATAAACTAACCGAATAAGAATATTTGAGTAAATGATCCAATATCAGAGATAAATATGTATGCTGACATAAGTGTTCACATTAAAAATTAACACCAGTTAAAATACATCATAATGCACTACTGTAATAAATAACACCGGTTAAGTCGTTAGTTTGATTTCATCTAACCATGAGTTAAATGGAATCAAATCCTGAAGGTCACTTCATTCTGATTGGTCTAATGAGCAATAACGAATAATTTTGCACGAAATTGTCAACACAGAATGCTATAGACCGACCAATTAAACTTATGAGATTACACAAACTGAAATGTAAACAGCAAATCACAAGTTGTTGATTTCACTCTATGGTGAAAAATAATATACAGCAGTGAAATGTAATGAGAAACAGTCAAACATATTTATGCGTATCCGGTTTCTATTGGATTTAAATTTCATTCAATGATGAAAGTGTAGAATAAAACAGGTATAAATGTTAATAATTATTTGCACATATGAATAAACATGTCAAGGCCGATTTGAACTCATAGTGTGCGAAAAACGGAAGTCCCTAATCAGTTTACCTGTTTGATCAGCCCATTTTAGTTTAAGAAAATTCAGTTAAACTTTAAGTGTAGTGAATGGATAGTAGTAAATGGATACGAACAGAAAACAAGGTAGATATATATATTTACTTAAATATCAAGTGTACAATTCAGTTAAGTCGACTACTACAAAACTCTTAAATGACTAGTAACGACAATGAGGTTGGTAGAAATGTATTATAGGTTATCTCATACGGTCGTCTTCTCTAGTAAAAGCCTGGTCGTATAGCATATCAAAAGTCAACTCTAACTGAGCTCTAACTAAACATATTTTGCTACAGCCAGTAGATGGTTTAAGTCTGAAACAATATATTCCTTCCTAAAAGATGGAATAAAACATAGAATTGCACTTAAGTTAAAATGATCCTGGAAAAATCAAAGGCCAATTCGACCTTGTAGTAGTCACCGATCAAACGACCTAACTAATTATTAAAATAATCAAAGATTAAATTGGTTATAATATATTTTATGTATTGATGAACAAAACAGTTATAATTACATAAAACATTCAACATTATAAAACCTTCATATCTTCTAATTGTACTTACCAGTTATCACACTGGGCATTTTAAATGACCAAGTTCCATCTAGTCTGTAAAATAAAAGCAATGAAGGAGCTGTTAACAGACAAAAGTGGAAATATAAAACTGTAGGAAATATGAATAGTGGAAAAAAGACTCTGTCTAGCTTCTCATAAATCGAGTCGATACATTCAACTCATAGTATCGTGGTACTAGTTGCCTTATTCAGCTGGCAAAATGAATGAAGATGTAAATCTCAAAACAACCAGTAATTATTCGTTATTTGACACTCAAACGTATAAAGCAATATTTGTCCATTTCAAGACAATACGTGTGTTCTTGTGTGCATTAATGCACAAAACTGTAGCATAAAAAGCCTAGAAAGACCAGATACAAAAATATCTCGAGGGATTACGTCAAGTTCAATATGACAACTATTGAGTAATAACCAACATCAAACTTTGTAAAGTTAGAAAATAGCGTTCACAAAATCTATTAAAAACCCAAAGTAACTCATATGCAATTTGTGTGTTTAGTTTAAGAAAGTTTCCGATATAATATTAATCTTTACTTGGGCTTCATCACGCTTCAAAATCATGGCCAGAATACCAATTTACTTGGCATGAGGACTGACTATGCAATATATGAAATAAAACATGAGGAATACAAAGATTATCACTAGTGACAACTTTATTAGTTATTTTAAATAAACGTATTATTCCATTTACCTATTTTTTCTGTTTTTAAACATAATAATTTCCAATGTAATAATGATTTTAGGGACGTGGATTTGAAGTAATAAAAATGTCCAATGTTTAAGAACTTTTTGCAAGTATTCAAACGCAGTCAATTCTGGTAAACTATTTTTTGCCTTTGCAACTTTGATGTAGTTGAATAGTTTTATTTGTTAATCGTTTTTTATCAAACAATACCAATTTAACGATAAGAGTACGATTAGAATGTGATGTGTCAAACGTTACGTGTTTCAAATAGTCAATATCAAAATCACTGTTAAAATATATTGGTCTATGAATCTTAGTGTTAGTATTTACTCGTTTTTTAGTGACGTTATAATTTAAGTTGCCTAATAAGGATATCACAGATAAGTGATTAATTGGTGTCATTTTTATACTGAAGATTGAAAAGTGCACATATTCAGTCCATAACATACTGCTGAACCAATAAGCGATAAGAAATGTTGTCTAGTAAACAATGATTACCAAAAAAAAAACAATTACAATAAATAAAAGCTCTTAAAATGATCAAGTGAATAAGGACAGTTTCTTCAGGCCTACCAATCACAAGCATTCGATCAGTAAAAAAACAAAATATGAACAGAACTGTATTTATTTTTATTTAGATACATTAACATTGAACACCGGGTGTAATCCGCACTACTACCAGATAACTGGCGAACATGAACTATGCTTCCATTGGTTGAATATAAAATTGATCAAATTGAGCTGTCATTAGGATAGCTTGTGAATATAAATCGTTGTCAAATTTTGCACTTGCTTCCTGTGAGAAAACGACCGGTTCGGCTGTAGCATTAATTTCCGTACCTTGTACATTGCTTACGCGACCTTGAACTTCGATAACTCGATTTTCTGGTGAAGCCTAAATACAAAAAAACAAAAACTCAAAAAGTAAAAGACTACATATTTTCGATACTGAGAATTATTTTACACAAACTTAGTTTATTTGTGAATATTTATTAACAAGTTGTAAATAACCATACAAAGTAGATTTGATTGATATGTAAGCTTAGTTCACTGTTTCTTTTCTGTAATGACTTAATCTTTTAAGCTGAAGACAACAGAAAACGTATTTACCACTTTCGATAAAAATATTACTTGTCAGTGAAAAATAGGTTACGTATAGAAGATATTTAATAGCTATGAAGTGTTGAAAATAGAGCCAGAAACTGAAAATAAGGAACAAAAATACCAAATTGGTTCAACTCAGAAGATTCTTTAACTTAGTATAAGTATTACTGTTTGAAGGATATAGTAGCCATATATGATAATTCAATAGATGGATGCATTCAGGTACATAGTACATAGAAAAATTCAACGTTTCTATATACATTTGATAAAACATACGATGATAAAACTTAGATAAATAATTTAGAAGGATCAAGTAACAAATCTAAAGATCGACATGAGTAGGTGAGATAGAGGTAAGACTTAAGACCGCATAGCTAATTATCGAATAATTTAACATCTATTACAAATATCTGAAAAATGTTAAGGTCAATAAAGCCATAAAACGTTAAGTATTAAAACTAAAAAGCTTGGCTATAAACCTTGTGAGACGCTTGTACGAGTACAGAGAGTGAGTTATATCTACAGTATTATGCTATACACCACATTATATATTGATTTATACCAAATTAAATAAAAATGGGATTATACCCTAGTATAGTACCCCTATTATGCTAAGTATAATAGGTTTACACATGATGTTTTACTCAATAGGATTATTACAACAGTTTTTATGAGTTGAAATATATTTATGTGATAAGATTAATAGAACAAACGGTTCTTTGCGATAATTTTATCTTTAAAAGGTATACAACTGTTTTGATACCAAAGACAGAATGTAGTGAACAAGTTTGTTCGTGGATATAACAGTCAATGAGTTTACGACTTATTCCAGATAGAAAATGGATCAACAGACCAAAAAGATGTAATATTAGGGATTATCTATTATTATTGGCCAACTAACAAGCTGGATGTAAAGTAAGGCCTCTGTTTATGTAAGTAAGAATCAAGTGAGCAACGCATGTAGAGGTGAGGAATTATTATTTCAGATTCTAATAATCCATCAATCGCATCAGTTGGGACATGTTTTACGCATGATCAGCGGCTGTTTACCCCAACATTGAAAGTATAAAGAAGGCCGGTTTATGACATAGGTTTAGTCCATGAAACAGATGGGTATTTATTTAGTTTGTAGATACAACAAAATACCCTTACAACGAAAGACTGGACGACAATAGCTAACAACCAGTATGCTTTTAATAAGACTTCAATTCTTAAGGAACATGAGTTTTGAAACGAAATAAGAATACCTGAAGAGGTGATATAAGATTGCAATCAATTTCCAGTCCATCTGCACAACGCATATGTACTCTTTGTCCCGAAGGAGCAACACGAAGAACAGTTCCAACTATACAAACATCACGACCTACTAGATTTGGAAGCATTGAACCCGTAACACGAAACCGAGCTATAGGCTTTTGATCAGTAGAATCCTGAAATAAAAAGAAGTTGATAGCAACCGACTATCGTGTAAGTGATCAAAAAGAAGAAATGATGAACTAATTGTATTTCATGAGATCTGATTATAATCACACAGCAAAACCAAGTTTCTTTAAGCATTCTTTATGCTCCATAATCACATCTGCACACATTTCCTCACCGTACATTACAATGCACTGATCACGCTTGAGACGTGTATCTGGACATGCGCAACAGGGTTTAAGAGGTTTTCCTTGGTCGTCTAAGGGTACTTTTGAAGCAGACTGATTGGGTAGCTCTTCCTTGCTTGATGACATTGTTTAAAGCCTATATTGATTAAAATAAAGTAGGAAGGTTGTATAGATACTTGAATGCATGGATATTTATACATTAAAACAGTTAAGTGAAAATTACCTGAAAATGGAAATTAAGACCAAAATAAAGTGAGTGGTGGTAATGGTCATAGACAGTAAATTCACACTGCTCTTCAGAATTCTAGACCAGAATCGGTGAGTTATTTAGGTTAACCTTTCGCTACTTTTTCTCCTTTCTATTCCTATTTCATCGGTCCCAATATAATCTAACATCTAGAATCTAAAGCTGCGTCACTAACCCTGTTTATTGCTGGATTTAGAAGAGAACTTGGTCAGTAAAAATAGACATTGTAGTTTTAGACTCGGCTTTTAGCAAACAAACAAAAGAACCGGTAAATAGAAATATATGATTTTCAACAAACTGAGTGAAAATCTTTTGATTTAACCAGCTTTTTCCAAATGATACCGAACTTTAAACTGTTAACATTAAGGTTCTCATGAACGAATGATTTAGTTAAACCAAAAAACAAACGGTATCTATTCTTGTATGAAAAACTGCGACTACTGATACGTATTTATCAAGAGGTAAAAACATAATTTTTCAACTGATTGGAAACAGGAACACCTAATCTACTGTGTTGAGATAGACAGTAACTTTGTCAATAGATATCAAATGATTTGTAACTGTTTGTGTTAGCCTGATGTTGATGTAAGTGCTGTGATTAGTCAACCACTAAACTAAAAGGCCATATCGAGTAGTTCCACTTAAGTGGCTGTTACGAATACCCAACCAACGACTGCCTCGAAGAGCTATGATTTGTGGTGTAGGAGTAGGTTGGGATAAAGCTAAGTGTGGCCAGACCAAAACATGGCAGAAATCCATGAATCATGTTGGTAGATGTAGGCTACTTGGTTGAGGTCGGCGAGACGAAAGACACTGATGGTTACAGACCTTGAATGACATGGCTCAAAATCGTTTGCAATGGCGTAGGTGTATTCACTCTTTGTGTTCTCTCAAATCCTAATCTTCTGGATTCGTCAACACCCCTACTTTTGTCTTTCTAAACTTATCTCACTGAATTATACTTCTTGAATCATATCTTCAAACCCTAATCCTCTCTATTACCAGTAGTACTCCTACTATCTCTACCACTATGACATTTGAATTAACAAATGCGTCTCTGTGCTAATGTGGTATGGCAACATGAACTGATGTACTTACGTACGAAGTTCTACGTTGCAACTAACTGGCTTAAGTGGCAAACATGCTAATAGAGAACATTCAGTGTTAATTTTTTATATCGACTATGAAAATAAAAAAACTACACAAATAACGTTAAACAAAAATGTCAGATTGATAGTAACTACTGCACAACACGGAGTGATCAGCCTACGAGGGAGTAACATGAGTTTAGAATAGGTATTTCATGTCCGACTAAACTTATTGCGCGAAAAGATTGGAATACAGAGACGTTTAGACATACTAAAAT